TTCGAAAAATCAAATCATGTTAACGCTTTGTCGTGTTCAGAGTCAGCCACTTGAAGCTGTTGTTGCTTTGCTCTTTGTTTTTGTAGGTTTGTTTAGATTTTTTTTCTTTGGATTTTTTTTTGTTGTCTGCTCTGTCTGCGGCAGGCTTTTATGTACTTAAATCAGTATTTTATGTATTGTATTTCCAGTGCGTTCTTATTCTCTTTATATACCCATATATTCACTTAGAACCGCCAAGCACTTGTATTGCTTTTGGCTTTCAATTTTTATTTGTTTCTTTAAATTTTCTTTCTTTTAATTTTTTTTTATATTATTTTCTGTTACAATTCAATTTGCTGGCGCTGCGAAATTCTATTGATGAAATGTGTGCTGAACAGATATTTAAATTTTCTGAGACATGTGTGCCCATGTGTGTGTGTGTGCGTGTGTTGCTGTTGTTGTTGTTGTTGTCCTGTGTAAAGTTAATTTGTCCTTTGTTTGTTCATTGAATTTGTAGCATTTATGTAGTTTATTATTGGCTTTTAAATTGCATAATATATATTTATATTTTCGGGCGGCAGACAAAATAATGTGCGGCTCCTTGCGAATGTTTTCTATGCTGAATTATAAATAGCTTCAAAATGGGCTTTGTGCATATTTAAGCCATAGATAAAAGTAGATTAAGAAGAGAAGATAAATCTGTTTGACTTTGTCAGGTTATTTATGGTAAATTAAATACTATCTAGTCGCATGAAAGAAAAGTTATGTAAGGAATAAAAGAAAAGAAGTCGAGAATTCTTGTTCTTATAAAGCAGAGATGTGCACAGTGAATGCAGCTGATAAACTTCACAAAGAGCAAAAGTTTTTAGCCTCGGCCTGAAAAGAGAGTAAAGTTTCTCTATTTCGCTGACATCGGAGTGCTTAAATATTTAGAGAGTTGTGACACATCAGATTGTTTTGAACTTTTAGTTTTCTATATCAATTTTCATTTCTCAAAGTATTCTCTGCAGTCTTTCTCCTATTCCTTTGCAGAAACTTATAAGCAATTAATGGTCAGGTCGGCAACTCGTAGTCCGCACAGTGGCTTGTAAAAGTAAGTGTACCGACAGCTATCAGGCACCTTTGCAGGCTAAAATAACTGTTAATAATGAATGAAATGGAAACTTTGTTGCAGCTCAGTCGTAGCAGACCGCTTCCCCTCAACCCTCAACCCACCCCAAAAAAGTTGACATTTGAAAGTTTTAAATGCCAGCCATGCCTTGCCTATTCATCCCCCCCTCTGGCTAGCAGACCCCAATTTGTACGCTTTAAGCTGTGGATATTTATGAATATTTATTAGCTGTAAACTTGGTATGTAGTTAATTGAAGCGGTTCACATAATCCCGAAACCTGTTGCCTCATTAACGCCTAGGCCGCTCGCAATAAAAGAATTTGGCCAGCGGGCAAAGTTAATTACAATATTTTATGGCCGGGCATACGAAACAAATTTAATTCCCTAACAAATTGCCCACGGTGCAGAGAAACGTGACCGAGGCGAACATTAGGTTCATTAAGCACTACGAAAAATAAAAATGAATAAAACTTCAAGTTGAAATGGTCCTTAAATGCGTAATTCAAAGAGGAACTAAGTAATTATTTTTATTTCTATTATAAATTAAGGCAAAAATAGAAGGCGCTGACAAATTGTCGAATTGAATATAAAAGTTAGCCTTCGGATTTTATTAGATTTTACTGAGAGAAGCATATATTGTGTTTCTGGCACGCATCCTCAAAACTCTGGAACTAATACAAGGGAGAAGCACCACCGTGCACTACCTTCTTAAGCTTGCTTCTCAATTTATTTCTGGTCAAAAGATGATAAGCATCTATGGGGGAGAGGCAGCAGACACTTTCTATTTCTCTCCTTTAAGCTATCTCGTTTTAACATTACAATGTTTAAGATAAGCCGAAGCGAGAAGCATCAAGCTCTTTAACCGCTCACTTCAAGTCGCTTCACTGTTCGTTTTTGTTAGCGACTATATTCTGCACGAGCTCGAAGCGGAACGCCTTTGTAACACCTCCTACTGAACTTATCTTTTAGCTTTTTCTGGCTACTGAAAATAAAAGAAGAAGCGACAAATTTTTGTATTTTTCGTTTCGGTTGTGCTTTCTAAATCGTATTCTATTCAGCTGCCTCTAGTGTAAGCCACAAAATTTCTTTTCTTTCTGGGGGATACAAAGCTGGAAGTTGCAAACCATTTCAAAGCCTATCAACGCTTCTCTCTTCATTCGATGAGTAAACTTACACAGAAGACTTTTGCGTTTGGTTTACACTTAAGCTGAAAGCAAGCTCAAAATGTGCACAAAATGTATCTTTTGGGGAAACATAACACAAAATGTTAACACTGTTGAATGCTACAATTTTTTATATTGAAAACTTGAACAAGGGAATAAAGTTGTGCTTTGTAGCACCGAATGTGCTTGTAATATCAATGGACATGCTGCATACGCTAATCTCTATGCAAAACACATTTTTCCAGTAAAAGTTTTATTACTTTCTGCAAGGTCATAACGACAAGAACAACCTGTAAGTAAAATCTCAGATATATCTAGTTGTGCAGATTGGACACGGGGATGTTGGATGGATAGTGCTTGAGGGTGGGCAGGCAGCGCAGGTCTGGGTATTGGGACAAGTTTTGCTCACACGCTTTTTTTTTTTTTTTGGAGGTGGACGCCCACGCGGCGCCATTTGCGAATCTCTGCGCTGGTTATTCAACAGCGCCTAAAAGACTGTCGTTTCTGCCCCATAAACGCCAAAACGCATTTCAATTTATTCAAAGAGCATATCTATTTGTTTTTACTAAGAAGAAAAGGTTGTGAATTCGATATCGAAGCCCACTTTTCAGCAATTGGACAAACTGTTAATTAAATTTCCACGAAATTGACGCCGCCCGCAAAACTTTCGCTTTTCATTACAACAAAAACAACAACAACAACAGCCAATACACATAGATACACACGCACACACGCACACAGAGGCACACACCCACGTGTGCTGCTACCCACACTGAGCGCTGAATTTGTTCACACGGGCACTTTTCACACAGTTTCCTTTTCACAGGTCCGTTCAGTTTATTATCGCACAACCAACGCACTCGCAACTCCGCCACGAACTGTTTCTGTTATCCAGAGTCCTTTCACGTTCAAAGTTCAAATACGCTCTGCGAATGTACGCCAAGCGGTTCGTGTCCTGCGCTTCGTGTGCTGAGCGAACTCGCGCCACTCGCTCTCACGCATCCTGTCGCCAGTTGTTGTTGCTATTTGTTATCAGTTTGATTTGATTTGGTGGCAAGAAGCGCAGCAGCAGGAGCAGGAGCAGCAGCAGCCCAAGTCCTCGCACAATCTGCCTTCACTTGAGCGAGGGTGTTAGCTGTCTGTGTCTGTGTGTGTGCGTCTGCTCTCAAGGATATTTCCTGTATGAGAGCGCACTCCGCGTAATTCACCACAGTTGTTCCTGTTGCTGCTTGTGTGGTTGCCGCTCTCTGTTATTTGTTTGCTGCAGACACCTGTAGTGTGTGCTGCTAAGAGCTTTTCGCCAGCGTTGCCAGCTTGTCAGCTAATAGATGTCCAAGTATTGTTTAGAACAAATGCAGTGTTGCATAACAATGAATGATCGTCAGAATAAAATAAGTTTAGATTCTTAAAGAACGTGCTGTACGTTTCCGGTTTCATAAATATGTATATATATAATTATTGAAGTCTTAAACTGCCTTTAGTTTTCTATTAAAACAAATTTCCTCTTGTTATAAAAGGCTTAATAAATTAAATGGGGACTATGAATCTATATTATTGAATTAAAAATTATTTGAAAAACTGATTCAATTATGCAAGCGGGCACGGCTTTTGAACGTTGATCTAAGCAGCTAATACAGCGATTGATTGTGGGTTACAGGGCCAGTATTGCATATCGCTTTGAACATTCCATAGCACAGTGTTGCAAAGCGCAAATAAGTCTTTACCACATATAAACTATTTGGTTATTGCAGAAAACTGCAATTTATGAAATCTATCGTCGAGTCAATATTATAACAGGTATATGCAAACGATATGGCTGGCTTTTATAACACCAACAGACACATATTTAATTCCCTATCTTCAATGGTTATCTGTCATATTCAAGGAAATTACGATAATAAGCTTTCAGCTGGCTATATAAACAATGTAAGGCATACAGGCCAACACGCGCAACGCGAACTATTGAAGGCCATGTTATGCTCTGTTGGGCAATGCATTTTAGCCTCAATTACTCAAACAACGACAACCTGTTGGCATTTTCTTAACACACACCATCCCGAATCGACCCCGTCACGCCCACCAATAAGTATGTCTGTCTGTCTGTCCTCTCTGTCCTGTTTGGTAGTTGATACAATTTGCTACATTCTAAATGAACTCTTAAAAGTGCTCTGACATTTCACTTGGTCACGTTGCGACCAGGGGAAAACGAGCGTGAGAGAGGGGGAAGGTGAGCGGGAGCGGGAGCGAGCGGGAGTGCGAGACCGTGGTAGATATTTAAGTGGCATGGGAAGTGGCCAACAGTTGACGTAATTTGCAGGTAATGTGTGGCCTGTTGCTGCTCCTGTTCATATTATTGCCCCCAGGGCAGCGGATATGTGGCAACAATCTATACACTCCCTCTCTCCCTCCCTCTCTCTCTCTCTCTCTCTCTCTCTCTCTTTCGCTCTTTCTCTTTCTGTATCTTTGGCGCTGCAACGACTACAAAATTGCCCTTTGCTGGCGCTGGCCAAGCGTGTGACATGTGCCCGTCGTATTGATTTATGGCATTGATGGCGCTCGGAGCTGGAGTCGACACATCCTATCATTTGCTGGCCTGTAATAAAAACCTCACTTTGTCTGGCTCGAAAAATAACACAACGCCCATCCGACACACACACACACACACGCGTCCAGTCAAAATCAATTTTATTTAACACGCCTTCATTATATTGCAAAATTAATTGACTGCCTGCACTTGGTTCTTCCCGCTTCCGCCTCTGCTCCTGCTCCTGTTCCAGCTTCAGCTTCACAGGCATGTTAATTGAGTCAGCAACCAAAATGCAATATTCAAACAGTGTGCCCGTACCGACATGCACATAGCTCTCTCTCTCTCTCTCTCTGTGTCTCTGTCTCTCTCGATATATATAGAGAGTGACAGATTCGAAGTGCAAGTGAATTTTGTGCACATTTCCGTTGTGCTAAACGTGATTGAAAGCGGAAATTGCGGCAGGTTCTTTCCTTTTGCTTTACGTTTCGCCGCTTCCGTTTGACAGCCACAAAATGGTGGCTCATCACATCCTACTCGCTGTTCACGGGTCTCTGTTCCTTGTTCTGGCGACTCCCGCTCCATCCGTGGTTTAAGCCTGAGTGACTGGCAAATCGTGTTTTTCAATTGACATTCGATAAAATTGTGTTAGAGACCCCTTCACCCGCACCGTTGGCCCCGCTTTAGACTACACAACTGAAACCGCTGAAGTGTTGGACAACGCGCGCTGATGCGATTAACGGTACCGAACATCAGCAACTGTCGTGCACCATCAGGATTTTGGTATGCACTAACAAATTAGGGATACGTTTAAAAAGTGGTAAGCTTTGTATGAGAACAACTTATATACATTCTGTATATATTTATACAAAAAAATGACTTGATTTAACAACCCCTAGAATATTTCGATATACAAATTATATTTCATATAAGTATTTAAAGCTTGTTTTTAAGCCTTGACCAAATCTTTCACAACAAAGTAGAGCATTAAATGTGCGATCTAAAACAGTTTTTAGCTGATTCCTAGTGCTGATAAAAATGTTGCAAAAATGTGAAAAGTTGTGGAAAAGTAGACAAAAAACACGCTTGCATTTAATTGAATTTGAGCTGGGCTTTAGGTCATGAGGCCCTCGTTGCGCAATATGGACGTCATGTCAAACTGCAGCAGAACAATTAAATACGATGTGGCTGCGCTCACAGTCTAAGAGCAAAATATACAAATCAAATGTAGTTAAAAGTCAGCTGTGAGTTGCAGTTGCAGTTGCAGTTGACTTACAGAGAATATAAACGTGTAGTCCAGTGCAAAGAGTCCGATGCCATTGAACTGAAAGTAGCCCTCCCAGTGTAGGAATTGCAATGTAAATGACTTCATTTTGTTGTAAAACAGATCATTGCTCAGCATAAAGGCGGGCTTCTTTTGCATTATCTCGTGCACAATCATGGCCGATTGCTTCGAATGATTGTTGGCATTGCAGCACAGCCGCAGCACAATGTAGGCCACGACCATGGTGGTAAAGCTCCAGATCACATACAAATAGGTAACATAGTCCAGCAGGCGGCTCTTGCCGCTGACTATAAAGTTGACCTTTGTCTCGAGGAATATGCCGAATATGCTGACCACAAAACAGGCCGCCATATAGGGTACGCACTGTGGTCCGAATTCGCCATTGGTTATCACGCTCAATGCGAGTATTTTGTCGTGCAGCTTGAACAGATCCGGCAAATTGGCCTCCGATGTGCTGCTACAGAAATTGGTTACAAAAACGAATTTCAGCTCAGTTACACTATGCTACAGACGACACTTTTCTTTTGCAATTAGACTGTAGCTTAACTTTTCTGATGCAACAACTAAAAGTGAACTAAACAAACAACCAAAAAATTGACTTTTTGTAATAAATTTCCATTTTTAACAACATTTTAGAAGCTGAGGGAAAATAATTCCTTGATAAACCTATTTAATGGGTAAAGGAATATACTAGCATTAATAAAAGTGAATTTTAAAATTAAGTTATTATTATGTATGTACATAATAAGCTACATGCAACATTTTGATGACTGTATTTTTCAAACTTAAGAGATTTGTTTAAATCTTGGGATACATATATATCTATTTTGATCGATTTCTTGGAAACGGGGCATGTTATTAATAATCGGAAACTCTCGTACTGCCAGGGAAATGGTGGAATTACTTTCAAGTTTGCTAGTTCTTTCAGGTTCTCAGAGCTAATATATACGGATGGACAGGCGGGCGGACATGCTTAGATGCACTCGGCTGATTGATACTGATTAAGAATATATATACTTTATGGGGTCGGATGTTTCTTGCTTCTGCCTGTTACATACATTTGCACAAAACAATAATATATTTTTAGCCATGGGTATAAAAAAATAGCACAAAAAACATAAAACGCCATCAGAAAAGTAAAGAGCCTGTTGTATAGTGTTATTAGAAGGGGTTTTGTTAGTTTTGCTTTTTTTTTTTGTTTGTTTTTAGCTCACTCGGTATTCTCGCCCATCATGCCGTCGTTGTAATCAAAAATATCATCGTCCTCCTCATCGCTGGTGTTCAGTTCATCCTCGTCCTCCTGTTTTGGGGGCTGCGCCTTTTGGCGTTTCAATTCATCCGCCAGTTTGGGCTCATTGCTGAATATGGCTTTGGTTGCGGCTGCCTTCTCCGCTGGCGTTGGCTTCTGCTCCTGCTTCTTGCCCTCGCTCTCAATGTCGAAGACGGTGAGCGGGGCATGACGATGACGCGCCTCCTGGTTAATCTTCTCGAACAGCTTATTTATTTGCTCAAAGCGATTCGAAATGACAGACACGTGATAGATGAATTCCCCTTGAATAATGCTGCCAGCCAGATATGGAAAGCTCGACACCATAAATGGTATTATCGCATATTCGCCGAAGGTGCTGCAAATAGTAAGAGAAATAATATTCAGATAACGCTGTGTGTCTTGTTTTATGGTCAAGGCAGGTTTTTTTTAGACAATTTATTTAACAACTAATATTTATTAAATTAATTTTATATGGCTAAATAATAGACCAAATGCGACACAGACAAATTTAAGGCAAAATTGCGGTAAACAAAATTTAAAATAATTAAATAAAAGAGGAAAACAGTTTTAAGAGCTCTGTAATTTGGATCACGAACAATAAACTTTAGCAAACTAATCAAAAATGCATTTTGTTTTATTTTTTTTACTATTTTTAGGGGAAAATAAAGTTCGATTTAAAAATGATGGTTGGAGTAGTATGTATTGCGATCAATTGTCGTAACATTCAAAAAACAAGCCCTAAATTTTGATATCTAAAAAATGGCAAGGGGTATCATCACAATATTGGCAAAGCATGGGAATGGTTTTTATTCCATTCGGTGCACTCTCAAGCTTTTTAATTTAACTAAAATATCCAGATTGTATGAAAGCTATGTCGATAAGACTATGGATGATAATGATCCACGCAATTATAAGCATGTCGTACTCACAGATACAATTCCCTGGAATCGTAGTAAAGGGCAAAGATAAAAACGCTGAACACAAACAGCCAGGTGAAATGATAGGCAACGCTGTGTTTAACAGCCTGGGAGCGCATTTTATCCAGTTCGGCGACCCGACGGCACTTCTGAATTATGACATCGATCTCCGCGAGGCGCGTCTCAAAGTCCACAAAGAACTGTTTGCGACGATACAGACTCAGCAATATGACAGTCACATAGAGAAAGGCGCCGATATGCATGAACAGATTGTTGCTCAGCCGGCAGACACTGTTGCAGTCATCCAGAAATGGCAGACCGAATCTGTGAAACAGATTGATGCCCAAATAGGAGGCCAGATACAAACAGGGCATAATCAACATCATGATATAGTCCAGAATAAAATTCGACTGTAATTGCTGTCGATTCAGTGGTATGAGCCCAATGGCCTGAAGTATGGAATCAAACAAATATATATAATAATGTTCCGCGTTCTATTTTCGCCTAATAATATGCATAACTCACCATTGACAGCCAATTCATAACTTGTATCATTTTGTTTTGGTTGTGTCTCTCCGAACTAACTGCCTCGCTTTGCTGCACGCTCTGGACTAACTTGCCACCTCGAGTGTGGCTTCGATTCGACCCAATATATGGGTTCAGTTTGTTGTCATAATAAAAACGGTTTCATTGAGTGGATAATGCGCATATGTTTAAGATAAATATCTTCGGAGTTGTGCGCCTCCCCAAAAATATGGGGCTGGTAATGCTTTTAGTTTATTAAACGTGAACAACAAATGCACTGAGCGAAATTTAGTCATTTACCATAAATTTCAGGCAAAGAATTGCGATAATATTGTTTAATAAGTTTGTTTACTTTACCAACACTTTTTTAAGATGAGTCCAATAACACTTTATGTAAGGACATATATCGAATGAAATTAACTTCCCAGAATATAAAACTAACTAATATACATACATATATGAAATTTGCATACATTATGCCAGATTTTTTCTCATTTTGTTTTTCAAGCGATTAAATAAACGTTTTTCGATTTGTCTTGTTTATTACCCAACACTGGCTACCTGCGTAGTGTTGCCAGCCAACTGAAATTAAGCTCTTTTAAGAGATTTTACTTAGTTCTATAAATTCTTAATTAGATTTTGGTTAATTTTATTTTCATCAGCATCTCACAATTTGCTTTTACAACTATTTGCATTGTTTTCTCCTCCGTTACAAGGCACTACAACAATTTGCCTGCACTTGGCGGCATCTTCTGAGCTTGATCTAATAATTTCCACATATTTTCACCGTATTTTACTTGCTAATTAAACAATTATAAGTTAGAGGCCCGACATCTAGGCTGGCTTTCAGGCCAAATTAACAACTACATCGACAATGGCAACAGCAACAACTACAATAACAATAACAAACGCGTTAGCTTTGCGCAGCGCTAAGAAAACCAATTAAAAGCAAAGCCCCTTGCAGCATTAGAACCGACACATGGATGATAAAATGCAAATTTCCCTCGAGCTGACGGCTGCTCTAAGCAAGCGGGGAGCGGTGGGGTATGATATTGAAGCGGGGTAAGGGTTGTGTTCTATAGGAGTTACTTGTGATGCGAGTAAGCTGGCTCTGTTGAAGGTGTTGCCTTTTGCTTCGCATAGTTAATAATTGAGTTTGCAACTGAGGCACGCACAGCACAGCCAAAACACACACACACACACACATAGTCTCACACACTCACATGCACACTGTACACACATGTCGTGCAGAGCTGGTATTCAAGATGCTTTGAGGCTTATGCCTTTGCACGCGCTAAGACCGCATAAATACAAACACACACACACGCACAACTAACTGTAATGGCGCTTGGCTAACACACACACAAGCACACACACACAGACTTTTTGTCTGACTAGCCGCATCTTTGTCTATGCGAAAATTGTGAACAGATTTAACTGCCGCTCAGCCGCTGGGCTTTATCATTTGCGTGTTTAAATTTTGATAAACCCGCTTCTATTTGTTATTTCAACATTATCTTACTTGCTGCTTGTAGTTATTGTTATTGTTATTGCATTGCTGCCCTTGTCATAAACACGCCCCCATTTTGCGCCCAATCTTTCGTTGCGCTTTATGGCCGCTGCGTTGCCGAATATTTTGTGGCTTTCCGCTTTTTATTTGTTCCCACTGGCGGTATCAATAAAATTGCGGTCATAAACTGAAACCGCAGCAGTGCCACGCCCCCAGCGCCAAGCCTCAACTAGCCTCATCCTGCTGCCAGATCCGCTCCCAAGTGGCAGCGCTTTAGTCACTCAATCAAGTGGCATATACATTTTGGGGCCCCGCCCACATTTTTCGTGCGCCACGTAATGAGTTTGTTTGGCCAAGATTTTGGGCAAAGATTTGCCTAAACGTTTCTTTGGTTAGCCAGAAATTACGAGTCGAGTCGCAAATGTTGAGATTGCCTTCTAGAAACTGCAGCATGTTGATTTTTCCAGGCACTTAAAGCCTTCGAATTTTGTAAGCGCATTTGCCATCCGATTAGGGGTATTACTGCTAACCGATTACAAATTTATCTTATCTTTAGTGCTAGTTAATAGAGCTAAGAATTGGTAAGTCTGCACTAAAAGTGTTTAACAAAACTGCTGTATTTACAAAATTCCAGTGAATAGATTTCGCAAAGCTGAAAAGTGCTCGTTTTCCAAAAATCATATTTAAGATTTAATACTACTTAATTTAAAGCCTTTGCAAGAATTCTGTTCGGCTTGCACTGCAAAATGTAGCACATTTACATACATATACAAAACTCGCCGATTAACTTGTTCTGATTTAAATTTGGAAAATAGCTGAAACAAAAACTCAAACTGAAGCTGACTGAATCTTTTCTGTTGTACATTTTCTTTATATTTTTGAAAGTTATAATAGGACTGACATGAAATACATATCCTCCATAGTACGAGTTTTGATTTTAATTAAAGGGCAAAGCTAATTATTAAGCAACAGTTTCATACAAAATATTCATAAAAAATGCAATTAAATTTTCCAGCAATTTCATTGAGGTTTCGGAATCCAAGTTATAATTTCCTCATAGTTTTGTACAGTTTAGGCTTCACTCACACAAAATAATTGCAGTTTGGAGCTAGGCTTTAACGGACAAACGTTTTACTATCAATACAGGCTATGCGATGAAAATTATTCAGAGTATGGAAGGTAAGTAAGGTAAATATATCAACATGGATAGGCACAATATATCTATGCAAATCATTGGGAAATATAAAAGGGGTATTTAGGTATTGAAAGAAAACAGCTTAATAACTAATTGTATCTCGAATTTGCAGCTTTTTTTAGAAGTCTGCTGAGATGTTGGATGTGGTCTGCAAAGATTTCTTTGGCTGATTTTTGTCCTTACATTTGGTCATTTGTTGTTCTTGGCAGGACCTACAGAAATTGAGTCCTAAAACGTGTAAGTGTCTGAGCGAAGCTAAACGCAGTCTGAAGTCTGTCAAAATGTTTCTTATGTTTTTCCTACAAACTAATAATGACGCTGCTTGTTTTGTTCTCTTTAGCGATTTTAGTGGCTTCGCTTACATAAATATTTCATTGAAAGCCATTCATAAAGGTCTTCAGTGCGCGCTGGTCCCAGCCACGTGTCCTGCCCGAGAGAGCCGACCGAACTGCGAACTGCGAACTGAGAAATTGAGAAATTGAGCATTGCCGCTTTTCCTCTGAGCTTTTCACCACACATTTTGGCGCACAGGGCAACAACTTTTCGTTCAAACATTTCGAGTTTAATTTGTTGTTGCCGCCAGTTTTGGAATGTAACTCGGCAACTGACAATATGCACTGGGCAACGCACAGCGGGCAATATTCTGGCTGTGTCCAAATGTCAAATGCCAAGGATGCGTGCAGCAATTGTCGATGGCTCTTTACAAGTTGCTGTAAGTCAATGTTATGTCTGTATTCTGAAGATCAAGTCAGTTATGGGTAGCTTTTTTGTATGCCTAGTTTTAGCTTTTCTTTTACAAATCAAAATATTGTATTATTAAACATAAAATATTTTATGCTTTTAACATTTAAGGTCATGTTGAGAACTTAATTATGAATTCAATTGAGAACATTTTAGTTTTAGCTTCACCTTTTCTATTCTGAATCCATTGAAAATGGGTAGAAAGTATGTAATTGGCAGAAGGACCCCATAAAGTATATATTCTCGATCAATATGAATAGGCGATAGAGTCTAAAAATCGTTTTTAGATCAGCGGAACTATGTCGCTTTAAATCTGCAGCAAAGATGCGTTCAAATTATCAATCAAAATAAGGTTTTCGCACGTTTAGTCAGGACACAAACCAAATCATGCGTTGCAAAATAAATTTTATGACGGCGCATAAAAGTATGCTGCAATTATGTTCGGCGCTCTAGTGAACCGCACAATAAAAGATCAAACGATCGATGGTTTTGATTGGATGCGTGTACGATTTAAACATAGCAAACGAACAAGAAGCAGCAAATAAAGAAAGAAAAAAGCAACAACAAAGGCGCCTTCGCCCGATAGGTGTGCGGCGTTGTTTTGGGGTGTGTGTGAGTTGTGTTTTGTGTAGTCGTGGGTTAAGCGCTTAGCGCAGCGGACGTCGCTGCCGGCTGTGTTGTTCGAATTATTGTTAAGACTTTGTGCTCTCGACGAAAATATTTTAAGTGTGTGTGTGTGTGTGTGTGTGTGTGTGTGTGTGTTGTGCATGTGCATTATGTCAATGCATCACATTGACAGAGAACAGGACACAAAGGATGCCAGGCTCCTGCTGCCGGCATTTGTGCCGCCGCGTGCGCCATTGCAAAAGGTTTTCATTGATGATTTGACGGCGACGCATTCGCTGGAGCGACGACGACTCTGGCATGTGCCCTGGTTCCTATTGTTGATGTCCCTTGTGCAGGTACATAGTTGACGTGCTGCCTGCCCTCGCTGCAGTTGCTCCACATTTGGCACCCGTGACACACGGCGTATGCGCAATGTGCGCCCTGTTTAAGTGTGTGTGTGTGTGTTATTTGTTGTTATCATTTTCCACTCGAAATACAATTCAGAAGATTTTTGTGTTTTCATTTTCATTTGCACACATTTCTATCGCCACTTGCGGTTCATAATTACTTTTACTTTTGTATACACATATATTTCGCCCGCATCTCGACGGAAGATTTTCAGATTTATTTTTAGCCCTCAGAATTCGTGTGAATCTCTTTTGCAAATTATGATAATTTATTGTTTTACTCATGGAATTCTATATCACTTATCAGGCAATTATTTTCATCTATGCGTTTCTGTTTATATACGCGGTTTCTGAGGTCGCTCAACCTTTAATCAGCAATTGTTTTTTTTAACAAAGAGTTTCCTCATGTCAATCGCGTTTGTTGCGATTTGTTGTGAATCATTTTCTTTCGAATTCGTATGAGGCAGATAAAGTGTACCATTAACTTTTACTGATTAGCTAATTGTTGTCGCTGACTTTACGATGTGTCTGCGCAGTTGAATCGAAGGCGTTCTAAATGCAATTACAATTAAATAACATTTAAATTGCATTGAAAACAAGCACACACTTTGGATTCCTAATTAATATATTGGTATTTACTGATAGATTATTAATAAATATTATTTATTTGTGATCCCTAAGGCTTACTGAATGTGATGCATATTTTTGACTCACTTGATGACAAATCCCTTGCTTCCTTTCCAATCTGCATGACGACTGCGACGAGTGTTCCACTTGATTGCAAGTTTTGGGCTGCTGCAAGTGCTGTGGTTGCATTCACCACACTCAACACCCAACCATCCATGCACCCACTGGGGCGAAGTCACACAAGTGCTTCCCAGTCTTAGCCATCATGAGTTGGCCCATTTGTGGCACAGATTAATGATTAGCTCCTCTCATTTTATAACATATTTGCAATATTTGCTAACTATGCGCTGTAATGTCGCGTTCGCTGTTAATTGTTTGAGCCCAGCCCAGCTAGGTTAGGCTAAGATATTCATTCCATATTACACAATCTCAAACTTCAACTCAATTCGAATCACAATCGACGTGGCTCGAGTCTTATTGCCATTTTAGTCAGCGTTGACTTAAATGTTGCAACTGACATTTGTCATATTTGGCGTGAGGCATGTTGCACCGATTTGGCGTTGTTGTTTTTGTTGTTGCTTTTGTTGCTTTTGTTGTAGTTGTTGCTGTTGTTGTTGTTGTTGCCATGTCAAGCTGTTCTTGGCACTCACACTTGGACATCTCACACTTGGCTGCTGAGCGAAAGTGACAGATGGCTTGACATAATTTTTTTCTTTTATTTTGATTGATTACACTGTGCAACAAATACCGAGCGCCTATGAGTTTATTAGAGTGTAAATTGCTATCATATTGTTAATGTATATCAAACTAAAACTCTTCCCTCAAAAACATGTTTAAATATGTTGCAATGATAAATGCTTGAAGGGAGAAAAAACTAGTTTTTGTTAAATGTTAAATATATAAAATAATTGAAACGTTCATTAAAAATATTATTAAAGATTCACAATTAAATAAGTTACTAGTTCAAGTTACTCTGGCAATTGTAAGAAAAGTCAAATGAAACTTACAAAATATAAAAATCAGGCAAATATATTCGTATACCGGTATTGCTTACCAGTAAAAACTAAACATAGATTGTAATATGAGAAAACTTCAAAAAAATATCGTTATCTATAAACCATATCATTAAATAAACTTTTTTATATAAATATTGTTATATTCCTGTGCAAAGTTATAATCAATTTCAAAAAAGTTTTCGCCACAAAAGCCTGTAGTCGTTGGCATATTAGCCTTTAGTTTTGTAGCGCAGTGTAATGTTAATGTTTAACGTTTAAGGTCACTTATTGCCGCTTCCACATTCGCAGTTATCGCTGCATCTGATTGTCAATGGTTGCATGCAGCGGCGTCTCATCTACAAGCCGGAGCTGGGGCACGAGTATTGGCGCTTCTTTACATACATGCTGCTCCATGCGGATACCTGGCACTTGTGGATCAACATGTGTCTGCAGGTGGGTTGGCCCACTGAACCACTTCAGATGCACTCAGGCTTAATGTTTACGATTCTTTCTTTTGCATTTCCTTTTTTTCTTGCTAGTGCTTTATTGGTGTCTGGCTGGAACTGGAGCAGGGTCATTGGCGTGTGGGCGTGGTCTACGTTACGGGCGGCATATGCGGCGCACTGGCCAATGCCTGGCTGCAGCCGGAGCTGTCATTGTTGGGCGCATCGGCGGGCGTCTATGCCTTGCTGTGCAGTCATGTGCCGCACCTGGTTTTGGTCAGTCAACTGTGTCTAAATCAAATGCAACCGCAATTTAATTTTATTGCATACTCTGTTCGCAATGTGTGTAGAGGGTATATTAGCTTTCCAAAATGTCTGTCTGTTCGCATTCGAAGCTTGGACTCGTGTCTCCTCATCTGACAGAGTGCTGAGAATTGTGTCCCTCACAAATTGGCAGGTAAACAAGAACATAGCCGCCTCCAGCCTCTAATATCGAACTAAAGGTTCCTTTTGATTCTTTTAATATGTGAACAGAGTATGGCGCAGTCGTTTGCAGTTGACTGCAACGTTTTTACTTGCATTACTTTGTTTGTTTATTTGTTTTTTATTTTTTAAATTTATTTTTTATAGAACTTTTCGCAATTGTCGCATCGCTTTTTGCGCATTGCCGTCTTGTTGATTTTGTTTGTCAGCAATGTGGCATTCACAATTTTTCATTATTGCATCAATCACAATCTCAATCCCCGCATCAGCCTGGAAGCCCATCTCGGCGGGGGCGTGGCCGGCTTGTTAAGCGGCTTCCTCGTTTATCGGCGATGGCAGCGT